ATATGCAAAACTGAATCACGACCTGACCTCCCCAGTGGAACCCCCAAACCAAACTTCCCACATATTATTTGAGGATGGTAAAAGGAAAGTAAGATTTTAACTTGGTATGAGGAAGCGTGGGAACGGCGCTGTCGTCCACATAGGTGCCCAGGCCAGAAACCAAGTCACCCTTGCCTTTGCCTCTCTCACCAACCTCCATTCCCCTATCATAGAATCAGCCATCCCTGTTAGTTCCTTAATGACCCTGTTAGTTCCTCCTCTGCCTAATTCATCTGCATCTTTTGTTTTTTTTGAGAAAGCAGGATTTATTGAGAGGACAGAAAAGCTCCCAGAGCAGGAAGGGACCGGAAGGGGTTGCCTGCATGAGATCATTTTTAACTTGGATTATTGCAACAAACTTCTTGCCTCAAATCTCTTCTTCACACCACCTTCAGAGGATCTTTGTAAAATGCAAGACTGATGTTAAGCATCTTCCTACAGCTCTGAGGACAAGGTTTCAGTGGCATTCTCTCTCACCTACCCTGCCCATCACACAAGTACCCTCCATGGCTACTGCAATGATCAACTTGCAGCTTCCCCGAAATTCTACATTCTTACTCCCACATCCTGTTTCCTTTAACTAAACACTTGTGTCCTACTTCTTAATCTGACAAATTTTACCTGTGTTTCAACATTCAGCTTAAGCACCATCTGCTCCCAAAAGCAGGCTTGATTCCCTCTACTTGACTACCCTCTTCTCCTGTCCCATGGGCCCCACAGTGCTGATCACATTTTATTATAACCCTCATTTATGGCTCTGTCTCCCCTACCGTATCACCAACTTTTAGGGTCAAGGAAACGTATCTTGTCGGTCTTAGCATCAGCAGTGCCTAGTCTAGAATCTAACACCTCAAATACTCAATAAATTTTGTTCACTGAATTAATTTTATGTTTTTGTAATAATCTGATTTTTTTTCAACACCATATTCCCATTTCAAATACTTTGCATTATTCCCTAATAAATTCTTGAAATTCTATAATATAGTTATCAGCTATCTTAGGCAATATATTAAAGTTTCATTCATATCTGTTTTAGAATCCACTACCTCAAAACACTTGATCACAATTCAGTAGTATGAAAAACTAATCTCACAATTTTAGGACAATAACAGAATCCTCTTGTGACATTTAGTTGTGCTTTGCAACAAAATTCTTGAAGTAAAGGTGCTAGAAAATAAAGTCCTAAGGAACACAGTTTTTCCCACAGAAGATTTATCACATGTTTGGGATATTCAGCATAGACTTTCTAGTAGAAGTTACAGCTACTAATATTTAATTTTTCTCAAAGATTAACAGGCTAAAGCTAAAATTAAATGAGTAATCTCTTGGATATTCAAATAGTATACATTTTTTGAAATTTAATAACTCAGAAACACCTAAAACACAAAATATATCCTGCAATTAACAAAGACATTTCTTATAAGAAGAAAAACCACCTTTCCATTGTTGCATACATAGGCTTGAAATCAGCCTTAAAACCTGCATAATTCCTAACCTTCTGGGAAATGACAGAATAATAGCCAACTGAATTTTCAACTAACTTAAAACCATACTCCTATGCTATAATAAATATGGTTCCATCAACCTTAGCTACATTATATCTCTTCAGTGTTAACATTAAAAAAATTTCAAAACTGTATAGTGAATTTACTTCATGTGATTACGGTCAGGTCATTTAGAGAGAGGAGTCCAATTAGCCATACCGTTCTCCTCTACCTTTAAACTGGGTCTCAAACCACAACAAACATCCTTCAGAACTCTTATGGTGACTGCACTGATTGAACAGACAAGCAAAATGATTCAGCCAGACACACCAGACTATGTTTTTGGATAGCCCGTGACTAAGAGTGGATTATACAAAGAAACAAAACAAAGAAACACAATGGGACCCACAAAGTCTAAAACATTTACCATCTGGCCCTTTACTGCAAAAGTTTACTGAATCCTACACAGTAGACCACAGTTTAGTAGCTTCCAAAAAATCTATTTTTGAAAATATATCTTAGTGATATTATTTGCACTTAAATAACAATCAAATGTCAATTAAATTCAAGGAAACATTAAAATGCATATAAATACTTTAAGGGTGAAGGAGAAAACAAAACAAACATCTTAAAGCAACATATGAAACTTCATCAAAGACTTTTGAAAATATAATCTAGGACCCAATACATCATAGCTTAATAAAAGATATTAACTTAAAATTTTTTCTATGTCTGTTATTTGTACCTTGTCTACCCCTGCTTACAGATGCACAGGCAAGACCTCATCTCTACAATAAATCAAAAAATTAGCCAGGCGTGGTAGCATGCGCCTATAATTCCGGCTACTCGGAAGGCTGAGGCGGAAGCATCGCCGGAGCCCAGCGGGTCGAGGCTGCGGTGGCCGGGAGCGGCCACTGCACGACAGTCTGGGCGACTGAGTGAGACTCCAACTCCAAAAAAAAGAACTCTAACTGCTTACAGGATTTGCTTCTTTGTATGTGTACCAATTCCAAACCATACTTCAGTAAATTTTGCCAGCCTTCACATCCAGGGTTACTTTTGGATGAGAGCATCACTGAAAATTTTCCACAATTCTCTGACACAGTAACTATCAACTTGTCACATGTCAGACATGTAGCAAACAATACTCATTCCTATCTTTAAGGTCCTTCGAAACACTTGTGTAGTTAGCATACAAAACAACACATCACAAATGATCCTACTGACTTATATTCAGTTTGTAAATATCCCTATTTGAGTCAATAACCATGATCTAATTTTGAAGACTAAAAAGAGAGAAGGTTCAAATGTTCCTATTAAAAAACTATATACTACCTTACTATTGCCGTACCACAATTTCTTTTCATATCTAAGAGTATTTTTACACTCTGAGCATCAAGCGCTGCCACTGATGATGCACCAGTTTCCTCTACAGTTCTTTGTTTACTATTTTTCAATTATAAGAGTAATATGTGGTCACTGTAGAACATTTCAAAAATACACAAAACTATTAGAACATAAAAATAACCTGTAATCACCAAGTAGAACACTTTGCTTTAACTCTTTCCAACACTTTTATAAGCAAGTACATATGTAATATCCATTACATATATACAAAATTGGAATGGCAGTATGGTTTTATAGCTGGCAAATTTTTCCCCTTAATGTTGTAAACTCTAATAAAATTTTTTAAGTTAATACATAATATTTTCTGGATTCCTATACAATACTCAAAAATAGTCTCTAAGATTCTAGTAAGCATTTGAATGGAATTTATCAAACTGTTCTCTCCTAAGAAAAAGGACTCCATGATAACATAAATAACATGCATGCATATTAATAACGTAATAATATACATGATACAAGTCACTGTCCTTGTTATTTAATAACTAATGATTTAATTAACAGTCTACAGACACAATTGGTAAAGGCTACTATCAAGGGCCATGATTTACTTTAAAGTAATAAAAAATATACTCTCTGACTTTGTAAATTTGACATGTATTTCACATGAAATTAGGTACTCTCAAAAGTTAGATCATATTTAATCTATAAATAACACAGGTTACCTATACATTTTCACTTAATTTTCCCTTTCTGAATACACCCTTAATGAATGGTCAGTATCGAGTAGTAATTCTATTGATAAGGTACCAATAAGGCAGCTTAGAGAAGAAAAATATGTTGGTTAGGCTGTATTTAAAATGAAGACAACTTATAAAACTGTATTCATGACCAATAATTGTTCCATTTTTTTCTTTTGAGTCGGAGTCTCACTCTGTCGCCCAGACTGGAGTGCAGTGGCCGCTCCCGGCCACCGCAGCCTCGACCTGCTGGGTTCCGGCGATCCTTTCGCCTCAGCCTTCCAAGTAGCTGGAACTACAGGCGCACACTACCACACTCGGCTAATTTTTTTGATTTATTGTAGAGATGAGATCTCGCCAAGTTGCCCAGGCAGGTCTCGAACCTGCAGGCTTAGGCAATCCCTCAGTCTCCCAAAGCGCGGGATTACAGTCTGAGCCACCGAGCCTGGCTAATTGTTCAATTTTTTTTGTTTGTTTTGAGTTGGAGTCTCACTCTGTCGCTCAGACTGGAGTGCAGTGGCCGCTCCCAGCCACTGTAGCCTCAACCTGCTGGACTCCAGTGATCCTTCCGCCTCAGTCTTCCAAATAGCTAGAACTACAGGTGCACACTACCACGCCTGGCTAATTTTTGATTTATTGTAGAGATGAGGTCTCGCCAAGTTGCCCAGGCGGGTCTCGAACCCGTGGGCTCAGGCAATCCATTCACCTCAGCCTCCCAAAGGCGCGGGATTACAGGCTGAGCCACCAAGCCTGGCTTAATTGTTCAATTTTTAAGGCTCATCTTCATTTTATCTAAAAAAGTAGAAAGCATCTACCAAATACAACTACTTCATCAACATTTTTTCTCACTCAAACTTTCTTTTCTAAGATTATTTTTCCTAAAATGACTCAAACAAGCTTTTGATTTAAGCACTTGGTCTTAAACCGGTGGCACACGAATAAAATGTAAAATACATTAAAGCATTTATAAACTGCCATAAAGTTATACTGTTATTATCAAACAGTTTTCCTGAAGATCTGAATCATTTCATCCTTAAAATAACTTTACAAAACATGAGGTCTCTTTCAGTGTTTGTACATTTACCCAACAATGTGCTTACTATGACTACCATTAACTGAAAACTCTTTTACATTCCCAGCATGTGGCAAAGAACTTGTCCCACAGGAGCTGCTTAGTAAGCTCTTACAGAATGAGCCATATGCTAAACAGTAGGGTTACCAAGATGAGCATGACACAGTTCTTGCCTTAACATGCTCATATTTTATTTAAACATGGAACACAGCTATTGAATAACAACCACTTACTACCTGTCATCATTTAGGCACACCGCCATTTTAAAAATTAAATCGTACCCAAAAGCCAATTTTCTTAAATGTTTCTAAAGTAACTTACTTGCTGACTTCTTTATACTGGGCTATCTCCTCAATATAAAGAAGATCATGCAACCGTGACTGATAGTTGGTCTTGGTCAATGATTTGTCTAAAACAGACTGGGTAAACAGCTGGTCAGCAGAGAGAGGAATTTGGTATCTGATAAGAAGGCTCTTCTCCAAATCAGTAGTTTCATTAGGTTCAAAATCTATAATAGTCTTAGAAGAAGAATCCCAACGCTTAGCTGTGGTTACTAGCTGTTGTTTTGCATTCATCAGGTATTCCAGATCTAAATGGAAATAAAAACACATTTATAAAGAAACACAACATTAAAATTCACAAATAATACATTACACATTTTGGTAAGAGAATTTAATATGCTAGAGCTAAAATTCTTAAAAACAAAATAACACAAAACTTGCTGACAGGGTTTCTTCCCCTATCAGAATTTTGTCTCTTTTAGCAAAACAATATTAATAGAAATGCATGTTAAAAAACAAAACACGCATCTTTTTTACATTAGGCCTACAACAAGCCAGAAATAGTAATTAACACTTTAAAAACACAGATTAACAATTAGAACTTAACTTTTTACTCAAGAGAAATCTGATCTGCAGGAAGAAGATATGATAAATTCTTCATAAGTTTTATCAGGTGATAATCACTTTTTCCTCCTACTACCCAATGTCATTAAAGAAAGAGAAGACCAAAAATTTTTGAAAAGTTAAACATTTTGTGTGGTAAACCACAATGAAACTATGGTATCTTAAAATCAACTTACTACAAACAAAAATCTTTTAGAAAACATTCATGTAAAACACTGCTAATTCCTCATCAAAATGTGATATAGGGTCATTCAAATAACATTTTCGAAATATCTAGTTTAGCCTCAGTTAAATTATATTTTAAGTAGGGCACAGTGTCAAAACAAATGACCGTTCAAGTTCTGACAATTCGGGGGGCGGTGGGGGGGCAACAAGAACAGCACCAGGTGAAATCCATAGCAACATAAATTTGAAAGCACTGTGTCAGCTCACTCTACACCTAGTGCTTGTTACTTTTCTATTGAGTAAACCACGTATATACCCATAAAAATGAAACTTAACCAGAAGAAAAAAATGTTAATTGACTTACTACACTAAGATTCAGTCTTAACATAACATAATTGGAAAGACGGTTAGGAAGACGTAACAAAAAGTTTAGACAAAGATCAGTTAGTCTCCAAAGCATAAAAACAAGTTTTCCTAAACTATCTTTGAAATGCAAGCATAACATGTAATCACTATGTCTTGCTTAGTAAGAGATTTGTCTACATTTAAGTATTACATAAACATAGGCACACATACCACGCGTGGTTAATTTTTTTATTTATTGTAGAAACAAGGTCTTGCCAAGCTGCCTGGGCTGGTCTCGAACCCACAGGCTCAGGCCATCTACTCGCCTCAGCCTCCCAAAGTGCTAGGATTACAGGGTGAGCCACCAAGCCTGGCCAAGGCCCTAATTTCCAACCTTTGCCTATTGAAAAGGTTTCTAGCCGGGCTCGGTGGCTCAGCCTGTAATCTCGCGCCTTTGGGAGGCTGAGGTGAGTGGACTGCCTGAGCCCGCGGGTTCGAGACCCGCCTGGGCAACACGGCGAGACCTCATCTCTACAATAAATCAAAAATTAGCCAGGCGTGGTAGCGCGCGCCTGTAGTTCCAGCTACGTGGAAGGCTGAGGCGGAAGGATCACCGGAGCCCAGCAGGTCGAGGCTGCGGTGGCCAGGAGCGGCCACTGCACTCCTGTCTGGGCGACAGAGTGAGACACCAACTCAAAAAAAAAGAAAAGGTTTCTTTACTTTTTTAGATTAGAAAATAGGAGAAAAAGAGAGAGAGAGAAAGAGAAGATTCACCTCCCCAAAGTAGGGGAGGAGGCCAAGTCTAGGAAACATGGCAACCGTGACTCAAGGAGCCACACGCCCAGACCATGGCTTAGCAAAGCAATGGCTGAAAAGGCATTTCTAAAGCCAGTTTTACTATTCCTCAAAAGGTAACATAAATACAACTATAATCATCAAAATGTAAAGATAGTCTGCTCATTAAAAAAGTGGCACTTTTAAAACACTCTGGATTGATGATCTGCTTTTTTGCAATGGCCTCAGAAGCAAAAGTTTCCTAAAGTACACTAACCATAATTACTTCCTAAATCGTGCTACAATTGAGACCTGCTATTCATTCATTAGCTCACAGCTACGAAAAGTATTTAAATTTTACAAATGCCAACATTCCTAAAATAGACTATCATCACTAAAGATCAGATACTTATTATCATCAAAATAGCAAGGAAGTACATGATTTTGGTCCTGTATCCAAAAGTCAAAAAGAGAAATAGCAATGTTACAGTAAACTAAATAATCATTTCTTTAAAAATAAATAAAAACTAAGGTCAGGAGTGGTAGTTGACACCTGTAATCCCAGAATTTTAGAGGCCAAGACAGGAGGATTGCTTGAGTTCAAGACCAGCCTGGGCAACAAAGTGAGACCCCATTGCTACAAAAAAAATTTTTTTAAAGCTGGGTGTGGCCAGGCTTGGTGGCTCAGCCTGTAATCCCGGTGCTTTGGGAGGCCGAGGTGAGTGGATTACCTGAGCCCGCAGGTTCGAGACCTGCCCCGCCAACTTGGCGAGACATCATCTCTACAATAAATAAAAAAAAAGAAAAAGAAAAAAAAATCAGCTGGGCGTGGTAGCATGTGCCTGTAATTCCGGCTATTCGGAAGGCTGAGGTGGAAGGATCTCCAGAGCCCAGCAGGTCAAGGCTGCAGTGGCCGGGAGCGTGCCACTGCACTTCAGTCTAGGCGACGGAGTGAGACTCCAACTCAAAAAAAAAAAAAAAAAAAAAGCTGGGTGTGGTGGCACACTCCTGTAGTCCCAGCTACACAAAAGGCTGAGGTGGGAGGATCACCTGAGTCCAGAAGTTTGAGGGTGCAGTGAGCTATGATCACACCACTGTACTCCGGCCTGGGCAACAGAGTGAGACCCAGTCTTAAAACAAACAAACAAACAAAAATCATAAATAAATAAATAAAAATTAAACTCTATAGAATAGTGAAAAATCTACTTAGTATGTAGTTTAAGAATATATAACTGCTCTTTGGGGGTCAGAAAATTATATTTCATAATTATACTTTAATTTTACTTTATTTTAATAAAATTAACTCAGACTACATCTAGATCAATGTTATGTTCATACACTTTAAGAAATCACTAGTTATTCCTAACTGATGTTTAAGTAGCTGAGACAATAACAAACCTAAAATGATAGCGCATCCCTTTGCAAAAGTTTTTTGAATCACCTATTTAATATGCAAACCAAGTTATACAGAAAGACTTTCTACTCTAGACTAGAAGTATTCAGGATTTTGGGATACATGACATGAGCAATAATAGTACCTGTTTTTCTCATTTTATCTATATAGTACCCTCGTTTTATGAAACTCTTAAAATTATATGCTTGTATCAAAATATCACATGCATCCCATAAATATGTACAACTATTATATATCCAAAAAAATCAAAAACAAAAAAAATTGTGTCTTCAACAGATAGCACAACAGTTTCAAAACAATTCTCAAACAATGTTAAATTGTATCAACTTACTTTTTTTAATGACTATAAATAGTGCAGAGGAGAGAAAGGCTGGAGGAGTAGAAGGAATCCTGAAAAAATAAATCTACGTGTGCCAGTATCCAAAAGTCTACAAACTACTGATCTAAGTCATTAACTCAGATGTCAAATATAAATTGTGGCCAGTGACTACTACTAAGGCTATTTTGCAAAAACCGCTTCCCTTTCCCAACTTCACCAGAACTTGCATCAAATTTCTAGCTCCATCCCTCTCACTTGTAAGAAGAAACTTATTAAACCCGCTTAATGACTCACTTAAAAGTATTAGGTCTTGAGAGTGCCTCTTTAAATAGAGAAAGAGGCTTGGTCCCCTTATAGGAACATTGGTCATGACTACTACCAAGGCTCTTGTCATCCCACCTGCAGCACCTGCAGGCCTGCTAACATCTAACCAGACACATGTACGACTCCAGCAGCCTGAGCCAGGATCATCCTTGACGGGCACTTTTCTTCAACCCAGATAAGGCTAAAGCAAAAATACTCTGGAAAGATGAAAAGTGAGCAGGTTAGGATCAATATTCATAAAACCATTTAGGAAGAGTTTAACACTGACTGAGTAACCAACTCCTGTAACAGTAAATCTCAGAGCAAACTTGACAGAAACTATAGACCTATGGAATTTGTTACCCTGCGAAACTGTAAATAAATTTTAAGAGAACTCCATAAGAAAAGTTCATTAGGACATATTTACTCTTTTGAAGATAGCATAAGAGAAGGCTGCCACTGTCAAAAACAGATCTCAAGGCTGAGACAACCAGCAGGTCGATAACAAGATACACTTCCCAACCTTCCTTAACCTTCTGACACTGAGAACAGCAGTTGGAGTTCTCATTTCAACCACACAGTTACTACTCAAAAAAAGCATCAAAAGGGCTAGTTTGTTTTGTCTTGAAATATGAAGACTGGAAAAATATCTTTGCGGGACCTGTAGAAAGGACAAGGAGGAAGTGAGGAGGAATGAAATCTACTATTCTGGGACCCAGCACAGGGTTGACACAAAGGCAGGCAATGAACGAATGTCAGATGTGGAATCCATTAAGCCAGCTGAGTGTGTCTAGGCCTTAGAGAATGAGATGAAATGCTTCCTAATTCCAAAATCAGACACCACTCTCTTGCTTAGAAAATATTTTGGCCTTTAGCTTTCCAAAATCTGACTGCCCAAATTAACAATAAAGTCAAATCCCAAAGCCATGCCAAACTACCACTCCAGCTATCCATTTCAACATCCTTTCACCAAAGCTGCCACACAGAAGTAAGATGAATCCCTCTTAGCTTGCCCATGCATCTGCCCATTTTCTCATTTTCTCTCTCTTTAAAGAGGCTAACAAAAAGGGAAAACAGCAGAGCAGCAGCATAAGAAGTACCACACACTTTTTATACACTTCCATTCAGTTACATTTACCTTTTCCTGACAAAAGAGTTTTGGGGTTTTTTTTTTGGTTTTTTGGGTTTTTTGAGTGGGAGTCTCACTCTGTAGCCCAGGGTGGAATGAAGTGGCATGCTCACAGCCACTGCAACCTCAACCGGACAGCCTCAGGTGATCCTTCCTCTTCAGTCTTCCAAGTAGCTGGAGCAAGAGGCACACACCACCATAACCAGCTAATTTTTTGATTTATTGTGGAGAGGAG